CAAATAATAGTGGCCGAAATAAAAGTTTTGTTTACTAAAGAACCAAATGTAATGAATTCAACCATTTCACCAACATTATGATTTGTGGACTGAGAGGTGCAACGGTAGTAGTGTCGCATTGCAATTAAAATCAATTTTCTTTGTTTATACGAAGAAACCTGTAGAAAATGACAAAATAGAAGATCAATTTTCAATCATCCTTGCTGAAATTTTTAACAGAGTTAAAAAAAAATTTCACCAAAATAGCAAAAAGAAATTGTCATAGTTACATGAATCACTATGACTTTTAGCAAAGATCAAGCTCCATGAAATAGGAGGAAGAAAACTTTGAGGAATGAAACAAACTTCATAAGAAGCTTAATTAATGTAAAAAAAACCTACAAATAATAGTGGCGGGAAATTCCTCTATTTATAGATAACAAAGGGTAGTGTGAACAAATGTTTATTGTGCCTTATCAGAAAGGTCACAACTTTTTTGAAAAGTTTCAACCCTTCGGAAGGTCACAACCTTTCATAAAAGTCACACGTTTTCATAAAAGTCGCAACTCTTCATAAAAAATCACAACTTTTCATAAAAGTCACAATTTTTCCATAAATGGGAAAGACTAGTTTTGAAAATAAATAAATTAAAAGGAAGTTCTGATTTGTGGTGACATCTATATGATATATGATATCGGAAAATATATTTGGCAGGACACTATTTTGGCACGAAATGATACCACCTTCCTTTGTGGGGTAAGGTCGTAATTAAAGGAGGCTTGCAAGGGTATTGCTGTAAATACATTTTTTCTTGCACCCAAAATGCCCTCTAAAAGTTAAACCGCTAAAAGAAAAGTCTTAAACCACTAGATGGTTTCAAGAAATTACACTGCCTAAGAATTTTTTCCTTCCCAATAAAAATCACTACCCAAAAAGCATTTATTTATATTCACTTCAATACTCTATTCACTCTCTTTCTTCCAATTTTTTTAATCTTTCATTGTTATTATTCTTACATTCTACTTCCTTTTTAGTATCCCTTGTTTTTAAGGGGGGGGGGGGGGGGATAAGGTACACTCATTAAATTTTAAAAACATTCTTTAAAGTAATATTTATCAATTTTTTGATTAGTTTAATACCTTTACAAAATAATAATATTTTACAATTTCAATAATTATATTCCATGCTGAGAATAGCACTACTAATTTTCATGAAATTCAAAACATTTAATGAATTCATTATTTTCTGATTAAATTAATTATTTTTTTAATAATATTTCCTTAAGAGTATTAATTGTAGGGATAAAGTGAGAAAAAAATTAACTAATTTTATTTTAATTTAATGAATAAACAAGTAATATATATATATATAAAGGCAACTAACTAATACAACTAATATGGGATGGAGAAAGTATTGAATTGCGACGTAAAAAAAAATTTGGGAGCAAATTCCTTAGATAATCATCCATGTTTGGAAATTTGTCTTGTAATCACTTTTGTTTCTTTTAGGACCACAATATTACCAAGTTACTCTTATTTTTCTCAAAATATAAACCTCACTCCTAATGAAATGTCATGCCATGTTATTATTATTTTTAACAATAGAATAGAAACATTTACCTCACTCTTGAATTTTATAAAAAGTAACAAAATTTAAAATCTAAAATTAGCTAATATTTATTATTTATATGTAAATATTTTAAAAATTAGTTATAAAAAATTATTATCTTATTTAGTTGAGTACATTAATTTAATATTGTTAGTATATATTTTTTTATTCTGATATAAATAATAATAATAATATTCTCTAAGGCCACCATACATATTTATCTTCTTTTTTTCTCCTTTGTTTTTGATTATTTTTTTATTTTCTTAATTAAAGTAGAATAATTGAATGTAATTAAGAAAAGAGAATGCATGATTGAAATTTGGAGTGACTTCTCAATTCTTCATTAATAAATATAATAATGAATATAATAACTTATACACAATAAATTAGTATGATTGTTAAAAAAATAATCCAATTTCATTAATTAATCTTTTTATTCATTTTTTTTTTTTACATTTTTCTTAAATTTTTCTATTTGTATAATTTATTAGAAAATCTAAAACTATTTCTTGATATTCATTTAAACAACAAAGGTTGATATCCATTTTCATGAAATAGTTCCCACTTAACTATAGACATTAAGCACTATTTCCTCTCTTCTTTATTTGTTTTTTATTCCTCCTTTATTTGCTTCATTAAAAGTCTTACATTCACAACTTATTTATTCCATTTTCATTCTTAACATAATTAGGGCATTGCATAATATGGTTAAAACCAAAAAAATCAATCGAACCGATTTTTTTAAAATTTTGGTTTCAATTTTTTGGTTATTTCAGTTTCAAATTTCAGTATTTCAATTTTTTGATTCGATTTTCAGTTTTTAGCTAAAAAAAATCTGTTAACCAAAAAATCGAAATTATATATATCTATTCTTTACACCCTTAATTAAGTTACTTCAGCCCATAGCCCACAACCCATATTCAAATTAGGCCCCAATTCCGAAACTTTTTATTATGTATGAGGCACGCATATCATACTTGTATGAGGCATTGTTTGATTGACAAATGGACATGGATGGACCCATTTGCCAAGCTAATAAAGGACATCTTTAAGTCCCCATTGTCATTTTTTTGGTTTTATGCCCCTTGTTTAATATATTTTGTGTTTTAATCTTTTTAATATTTTTTTCTTCTTTAAGATTAAGCTGATCAAATCTTTTAAGAATTTTATTTGATGATCTTATTAGTTTATGCTTTTCTTTTTTTACGTACTGAATTTTAATTTTAATTTTAATTTTACGATCATTATATAAGTTTTTAGTTTATTATTTTAGTATTATTTTTTCTATTCTATGTTATTTATTCTATTATAATAAATAGTTGTTTGAAATTTATTTTTTAGTTTATAAAATCAAGATATAAGTAATTTTTTTAATTCTAACAATTATTTTTTTAAAAATTATAAAATAAATTTTGTAAAATTGCAAAAATTCTATTAAGGAATAAATTATTAAAATTATTATTTATATTTATAATTTCTTAAGAAACATATAAGAAAAGTAGATAAACAATATTTATTAATTTCACCTAGCTTGTATTTTAAGAATAAAAATATTGTATAAATTGACGGAAATAATATGTATTTATGTTGATGTTTATAGATGTTTTTCGTTTTTGAATTTCACGACAATAGTATCAAAACTTATGCAATTGTTTGTCAAGATCATTGATGTTCTTTCCGTTATATTTACTTATTGAAGAGTATTTGTGGATTGAAGTGCTTTTGGATTATGAAATTGTTGAGAGAAAATAAAATAACATATTAAATTTGTACCTTCTTTATTTTTCATATTAATAATCTACTGTTTCTTTTACAAATTTCTTAAGAAATCATAAATAGAATAATAGTTTTACTAATTTATACCTTAATTTTTTTTGGTAAATTTATAAATTTTAATTATACTTTCAAAAATAATTAATTGTTGTAATAAAATAGAAAAATTAAAATTAATTATATCTTTGTAAAATAAACAAATAATTTTATATAACTATTTTTAATAATATAAATAATCAATATTGAATGAGTCCGGCAAGATTTTTTGGATTTCAGTTATTTAAGTGGAAGTATAAAATTTGAAAGAATTGTTAGAAAGTAAAAAAAGTAAGAAAGAGAAAAAGAAAAAGTAAGAAAGAGAAAAAGAAAACGTTAAAAGGTAGAGAGAGAAAGATGAGTTTGGCCATTTTTCTGAAATGGATCCACTTGGCAAAATATAAATGGGCCTCATACAACTTTTGACTGCCACATACTTGTGCCTCATGCATGGTAAAATTTTTCCCCAATTCCAATCAAAAATCCCTAACTCAGACAGCAACTCCCATCTCTCAACTCTCGTGTCGGGTCTGTCGTCACTCGTCACTCGACTTGGAATAATCAGTTACGGCTTACGCCGCAGCCCGCCAGTCCGTCGTCTCTCAACAGTCAACTCTCATCTCTCTCAGTTCGTCGTCTCTCAACTCTTATCTGACTCTCGCCGAGTGCTCGCAAACCCGCAGCGCTTCTCACTGGCCACTGCTCAGTGCTCGCTCGCGGCTCGAAGGTCAGTGCTCATCGCGTCCCAATTCTCATCTGGAAATCTTTATTTTGATGGTAAATTAATAATGGAATCCAATAAACTTGTGAAACAACAAAAGAAATTGTTAGATACACATTTAAGAGCAAAATCTGATGAAAACCCATGGCAAGAATATGAAAAACATGTATTGCGTCCTCTATTGTATTTTTAATCATTTAATGCAAGTATGCAACTATGTGATTATTTGTGTGATTTGTGAACTGTAATGTACTGCGTCTATCTGTAATTAAGTTATTTATAGGCAACTCTGTTGACATTTGTGTTCAATAAGTATTCATGAAGTAGTGTTGAGTCACGAGTATCTAATGTCTATCATCTTTTAGAGTTTTAGTTACTGTTAGTGTACATCTGTAAGCATGCTTGGCTATTTTCCGGTGCATTTGTATGTAGAGGACATCAAAGCATTTGATCCTAATGAGGCGTACAGTAAATTAGTGACTACTATCCATCCTTGATAAGTATAAATAAATTAACTTTCTTTAATTTTTGCCACTGTTAATTAAATTTGGTTAAACCGAAAACCAAACCGAAATAAACCGAACCGAAATTGTAATAACCAAACCGAACCGAACCGAATTTATTTCAATTTAGTTTGGTTTCACATTTTTGCCAAACCGAAAACCGAACCGACCGAACGCCCAACCCTACTTGTGAGCTTAAAGTAGGTTTCAACCTAATGAAGAAAGAATGCTTCAGAATTGTGCCATATATTGGGTTTCAAAAATAAAATAGAGTCAAATGTAGGAATAGGCATAGGATATTAGCATCCAGTCATATGTTTTCTTTCTGCGGTGGACTAAGTTGCATCGATAGTTAGGATCAAAGTGGAAGTTCTATGAAAATGCATTTAACCACTGTGCTTCCAACCAACAAGTACTCTGGATTATTTATGACAGCTCCAGTAATATCAGACCCCGGGCAAATGGGTGTGCGAGGGGAACATTGTGCTTACACCTATGAAGCATGGGCACCAGATTTAGGGCTGTGTAGTTGGACAAGGTTCATGCATCAGACACGCTCTGAACATGTGTTCTTATCTTTCTCTATTCTGTGGACAACAATTGGACACTTATTAGGCCAAGTTATGTTTTTAGAAGAAAATCAGGGGCTTAAAGCAAGAAAAGAGAACTGATGAAAAAACCTTGAGATCCTAGAATCTCTATCTGAAGACTAATTTGAACAAGTAGAGAACCTGCATCACTCATGAGATTTCAGCTTCTGTTCACTGCTTGCTTCTTCAGTTCTCAGTTCTTCTATTTTTCAGGTTCTCTTTTCTTCATTAATTCTATGCTGTCTGTTTGATACTTTGATTAGCCTTTCCTCCTTCCCTGGTTTGCTTCTGGCTGCTCTGCTATTTAATTTTATTGTAGACGTGCATGCTACTTTTTTGCTATGTCAATGATTTTTATTATGTGATCTTTTACATAATCTGAAGATTCAATAGAAAATATGGGATTAAGATATTGCAGAGTCAGGCTTTTGTTCTTCTATGTCTTGCTGCTGACTCTCTCCTACATTTTAATGTCTTATTAGTTATTTATTGTACATGAGTGCTATGTGTTTCTATGTGACTAATATGATATGATTAACGATACGCATAAACCCGTTGATCACTTGCTGTGGAAAATGGATCACCCTGCTTGTTTATGGCTCTTTTCCGCTCGTCTACAACATAATTCGTCTCTGAAAAGTTCTTTTCCTTTATTTTTTGCTTTTATAAACCGTAGAAAAGAAAGAGAATATTTTGTGGGGGGAGAGGGAAGGGCCAGCCGTTCTGCATTTGATGTACACGACTTGTTTTGGCAATGACCAATTTGCTGTGAGTATTATTGATCCCACTGAGAATGTCAGCATATTTTACAGGGCTGAGAAAATCTTCACTTGGTTGTGGTCTAGAACCCATCGCAGAGTAACTCATAGGGCATTCTGTTGTATCTTACCTGGTATGGTTTCCTTCTCCTCTTCCTGTTTGGGTAGAACTACTCTGTTTTAAAGTAATTGTTCTAATATGGTGCAGTTATGATTGATTTGATGATTAGGTGGTTTAATATGACGACAAGTTTGGAAGAGCCATCAAAGAAAACTTCACGTCCTCAATTGGTTGTATTGAACAGGGCATTCAAATTGGTGAGAGTCCTTTCTTAAACTATCTAAGATGAAAGTGAGACGTGTTTAATTGGCTATGAGTGGGTCATATGTCCGGTTTTAACTTCTTGTAGGGTGACTCTTTCAAATGTAAGATGCATAGGCACTAAAGGTAGCAAGTTCTGTTCTGTACTTCTGTAGCATCCCTAAGGTCCTGAATTTTACCTGATCTAAAGCAGGAGATACAATGACTTCTATTAGGTTATGAGGTAATGATGTTCTTAGATTTCTATTAAAAAAAAGCGGGTGGGGGCGGGGTGGGGTAGTATAGCAAAAAAATAATAAAAATACTGGGAACTTGCCATAGTTTTCCCCTCATATTTATTTTACTGACCATTGATACTTTCATACACTCAAGCTAACCTGGTACTCCTCTATGTCAGATCTTTTCCTCTTTAAATCAGTAGTAGTATGACTGGTATTCATATTCTTGTAATTTTTTATAAATGGAAAAGGGTCATATTTGCCCTTATACTTTTAGAAAAGGGCTACATTTACCTTCGTTATACTTTTTGGTTATATTTGCCCCTACCATCCAACTTTGGGTTCATATTTACCCTTTTAGCTGTTAAGTTCCACATCACCCCTTTTTTATTATCCTACGTGGCTTCTACATGGATATAATCTTCTCTAATTTAATTATTATACCTCACCCCCAAAGAATTGAAAGGAATCAAGTGAAAAAACACATTTCCAATTATTTCCAAGAATTTGGCCATCCTAGTGTTTAAACCCAATCTGCTTGTACAAGAGTTGGTTCTCTAGTGAGCAATGCGTTGTTTTGAGATGGAAGACCGAATTCTTGGGAAATAATTGGAAACACAAGCCAATTCCCTTCCCTCACCCACCCACCCACCACCCCAAGGCCCAAGAACTTGATGTGAAATATGAATTATATGTTGCAGCAAAATAATTACTTCTTTTTGGAGAAAAACACATTCATTCATATTCATTACTGTTACATTCAAGTACCACCAAAAGCTACAAATCTAGCATAGATTTTTCAACCAAACATATAAGCAACTACCTTTACATTCCCCAAAATACCAATAACCCCAAATACCCATTAGATCTAAGAACTAGTAAACTTAGTAACAACCTTAGTTCCTTCAGAAACAACATATTTAGCCAACTCAACAGGCAAAACAAGCCTAACAGCAGTCTGAATTTCCCTTGAAGTAATAGTAGGCTTCTTATTGATCCTAGCCAATCTTGAAAACTCCTGAGCAACTTCCTCAAATATATCATTGATGAAACTGTTCATAATCCCCATAGATTTGCTTGAAATTCCAATATCTGGGTGAACTTGTTTCAGAACCTTGAAGATATAGATCTTGTAAGTTTCAATACTCTTTTTAGATCTCTTCTTCTTATCAGCACCGGAAAAACCTTATTCTTTTGGTAACTTCTTCGTTGCTTTTGGGGTTTTTTTCAACCTTTTCCTCCTCTGTTGGCTTCTTCTCTGCTGGCTTTTCTCTCTACTTTCGGTGCCATTGGAACTGAAATTGAGAATCTCAAAATGGATTTTGAGTAAAAAATAGATTTGAATTGAGGAATTTGAGTTTGGGTAATTAAATGTAAGAAAAGGAATATATGCACCACAGTGACTTAGAGCAAAAGAACAGTAACATTTTTTTTACTTGGTTACTTACAATTCTTTGGGGTGAGGTGTAATAATAAAATTAGAGAAGATTATATCCATGTAGGTGCCACGTAGGAGTCACATCGGATAATAAAAGGGAGTGATGTGGAACTTAACAACTGAAAGGGTAAATATAAACCAAAACTTGGATGGCAGGGGCAAATATAACCAAAAAGTATAACAAAGGGATATAACCCTTTTCTAAGAGTACAAGGGCAAATATGACCCTTTTCCGTTTTATAAATTAAATATGGCACTGTGGGCCAATTTTATTCATTCAAATCTATAATGAACAAGAACAAAGTTTGGTCAGCCCACAAATGGATCTGGATCAAATAAAATTAGAGCTAAAGAAAAAATAAAACAAAAACAAGAAAAGGAAAGTAAATCAAAATCTAATCTTTCTGATAAAGTAAAAGCATTGTTGTCGGCTTTCAAACTTTTGATGGTTAGGGTCTTTGATGAACTTTGTCTCTTCCAATTCCTCCTTTTGTTCAAGTTTCAATTTCCCCACTGATGGAGCGTCTGTGAATGTCGACTTTTTTCCATTGAATTTCTCAAGATTGAGCATCCATGTCTCCCGCTGTGTCGATTTGTTGTTTCCAAGATTGTAGGTCAGCTCTATTTTTGTTTCCTTCATTTCCACTTCCGATCAGTCCACTGACGTTGATATATTTGTTTCCCAGGTGTTTTTTGTCCTTCCTTGCTGCTTCTTTCTTGGTGTGTTCTTTCCAGCTTTCTTATTTTTTGTCTTCTTTCTTGAAAGTTTGTGTTGTGATTTATCTTTGTTGTTTCCATTAAACTCCACCCTGTGTTGGTATTGTAACAGATCAGTTCTTGTACTGCTAATGTTGTTGTTTTGGTTTGATTTTTCAATGATTCTCAGAGATAGTATCGTTTTGAATCCTCCTGTTCCTGACTCTGATGTAAGGAATTTCCGATTTATCATTATTGATAGGTTGTTTCCCTCTGATTGGTAGTTCCTGAAAATTGTTGAAATGCATGGTCCCTTCGTGCTCATATGCTAGATTGATGATGTAGTCTGCCACCATATTGCTTTCTCCAATTGTATGTGTGATCTCAACTTGTATTGCTTGCATCCATTCCTTGGCTCTTTCAATTAGTTGAGTCATTTCCCAAGGAATTTTCCACACATTTGTTAAGTTGTTTTTAAGATTCATAGAGTCTGTTTCCAGACTCACATTTGTGTATCCACGTGTGACAATAGTTCAGTACTTCATGTATTGCTTTAGTTTCTGCCATTATGCTAGTGGATTCTCCCAGCTGTCCTGCTTGTGCATAAATTAAATCTCCATTGTCATCCCTTAGGCAGAAACCACATGTGCTCATACCTGGGTTGCCATGACTTGCCCCATCTGTGTTGATTTTTACTCTTCCTCTTGTCGGCCTTTTTCACTTGACCACACAGTGATGTAATCTAGGTTTGTACTCTGTCAAGTATTGTATGACTGAAGGCCAGTCTGTAGGTACTGATGTTAACCAAGGAAAATTGGTTTTGATTAACTGATTGATATTCCGTTGCCCTTGGTAAGCCATCTTGTTGTAGGTTGTGTTTCCTCCATGCTTCCTGGTATTCCTTCTTTTCCATATTTCCCACAAAATAATTGCTGAAATTGCCCAGAAAACCACCTGTAGTTTAGAAGGCTGTTTAGAGATCCACCACTGTAATATGACTTGATGTAGTTGCGTTCCATCAATGTGAAGACCTGCACAATAAGCAAACTGTCTCCATAGCTTTACAGCTAATGGAGAAGTTAGAAATAAGTGATTTATATTCTCCTCCTTGTGATCGTCACAACACCAACACCTTGACACCAGATTAATGTTGATCTTTTTCAGATTGTTGCAGTTGGTATCCTACCTTTCCAGACTCTCCACATGAAGAAACTTATTTTAACAGGAAGTCCTTTCGGCCATATATAGTTATATATTTTGGATTGCTCTTGCTTCTTTCTGATTATTTCCCAGGTTGATTTTACTGTGAATCTCCCACTAGTTTCTCCCATCCACCATGTCTTATCATTATCCACCTCCATTAGTATTGGGCTTATATTATCAATGGTATGTTGGACCATTTCTGTTGAAACTCTATCCTGTAACATCTGGATATCCCAAGTTCCATCCGTAATGAATTTCTTCACTTCTATTTCTTCTTCTAGTCCATGTTCATTGTCTACATAGTACATAGCCCCTTGTTGGGTCCAATTATCAAACCAAAAACTAGAGTTTCCTGTTTTGATTTACCACCAAATTAGATGTTCCATGTCTTTCTTATTTCCATCATCTTTTTCCACACTTGTGAAGCCCCTTTTAATTGGGCAATTACTGGGTGTAACTTTTTGCAATATTTGTTTCATATATAGGCACTCCACATAGAAGTAGATGTTCTGTAATTCCACCATAGTTTTTCAAATAAGGCTTTAGATGTATCATGCAAAGATCTAAAATCAATTCCACCTTCTGCTTTAGGTGAACACATACTTTACCAAGCCACCAATGTCTTTTCCTGTTATCTGCAGTTGTTCCCCAAAAAAATGTTGCAAATTTTTTATGGATTTGATTTATGACTCCCTTTGGAGTGTTCATTACTCATAGAAGGTACACAGGAATGGACTGCAGTACATGGGCAACTAGAATATATCTGGCCCCAAATGATAGGAATCTGTTTTGCCATTGCATGACCCTCTTCATTATTTTTCTGACTAGCTTCTCAAAATATATGGACTTCTTTCTCCCATAGTACACAGGACAGCCAAGATAAGTGAAGGGAAAAGTACCTTTTCTCATCCCTGTTCTTCTTTTAATGGTATTGCAAATGCTTAGAGGCATCTTCTCATGCACATAAAAGGAACCTTTTGAATTGTTGACCAGTTGTCCAGAACACTCTTCATACTGCTTCACTACTTTAATAGTTTTCTTCATAGAACTGGAGTCAGCTGAACAAAAAATGGTATCACCAGCATATGACAAGTGGTTTATGGGGGTCCATTTAGGAAGCCCAAAGCCTCTATATCTACCATCATAAAATAAATTGTTCAGTCCTCTTGCTAAAACCTCTGCTGCAATGATAAATAGAGTGGGTGATAGGGGGTCTCCTTGTTTCACTCCCCTCGTGGATTTAAAGAAACTACCTGACTGACCATTAATCAACACTTAATACCAGTTCACACCATGTCAATTATAATCTCTGAGAAACCAAACTGCCTCATCACCTTAGTAAGGTAGATCCATGAGACCCTATCGTAGGCCTTTGTCATGTCTGATTTTACTACAATGTTGTGGTGCTTATTCCTTTTGTTGATGCTCTGATGATTTCCTGTGCTAGCAACACATTCTCTACAATACTTCTCCCTTTAACAAAACCAGTTTGATGAGAAAAAATCAAACTGGGAAGTACAGAAATGATCCTTACATGCAATACTTTAGACAATATTTTATTAACAAAAGTGCTCAAGCTAATAGGTCTCAAGTCCGCAAATGTTTGCACCTCATTCTTCTTGGGAATTGAAACCAAGTTGGTGTGAGTGATGAATCTAGGAATCTCATGTCCACAGGAAAAAGCCTTTACCACATCTTCCCCTATTATGTCCGAGCAAGTTTGGAAAAAACGGCCTGAAAAGCCATCTGGACCGCTTGCACTATTACTATTTAGACTTCACACTGCTGTTTTCACCTCCTCTATACCTGATAGCTCTGTGATAAAGACATTTTGTTCTTGTGTAACCAGAGTTGGAATGTTCTGTATCATGTCATATCTTCTATCAGTTTTTCCTTCACTGAATTGCTTCTGGAAGTAACTTACTGCCTTTTCTACCATTTGTTGTTTCTCTGTTACCCAATCTCCTTCACAATTTTGTATTCTCTGGAGACTCAATTTGTTCCTTCTCCCGGTAACATAAGAGTGAAAGAACTTTGTGTTCTTATCTCCCTCCTTAAACCATTCATTCCTGCCTTCTGTCGCCAGAAGTCCTCCTCCATGCCCATATACCTTCTCAAATCTGCCTGTGCTCTATGAAGTTCTTCTCTGTTCTGACCTGAATGCCTTATCCCCATTTGAATCTCCTGTACTAAAATCACGTCCTCGAGAGTGGAGATTTTCTGGAAAATATTTCCATAAGCTTCTTTACTCCATAGAGTCAAAGTCTGCTTAACATTCTTCATCTTAGCATGAAATTCCAGAAAAGGAGAAGCAGTAAAGCTCAGATTCCAGTTTTCTTAAATCAGATATTTGAAAGAATGGTGGTTGGTCCAGAAGTTTAAAAATTTAAAAGGTCTAATGATTGGTTCTTCCTGTGAGTTACATACCACATGAAGGGGAGCATGCTTGTACTTCAGTATTTTTCCAAGATCTCTTTTCTTATCCCTATGTAAATACTACAGCTACATCCTTGAAGTTGTATAGGTACCTTGACTGATTGTTACTGTTATGCATAACTAGTGAATATCAACTGTTATTATTGTTTGAATATGTTGATTCATTTGCAGGCTGAGCAATGGGTTAACAGTATGGGTGACTCTTCTGATGATGCTAAACCAACTGTGGTTGTTCTAGAGAGTCGACCGCCCAGGTAAAAATCTTCTTCAACATGGCTATGATTTTGACGAAATTCCTGAGGTTAATTTCTTAGGTCCTTGCAGGCTTGGAATTGGTGCTGCAGTTCCACGTCAATCACAAACAGTACTCTCAAATGACCCGGCTGAAAGAAGGCTACGTGCTAAATTGGATGCTGAGAAACGAAGAAAATTGAAGAGCTCTGAAGCATCAATAATATCCGCCAAAGATGGGAAAGTTGATGAAGAAAGTGATGAAGATGAATCGGAAAGCAAAACAAAAGCTTTTACCAAGAAGAGGCCTGCAGCTTTTCCCTCGACTCTGCAAGCAAAAAAGAAGAAGTGACTTCGCATCATCCAGCAATGAATACTTCGAGATGTGCTGGAGTCATACCATTGTATAAAATTCTTCGCCGTCATATTCTTGTGGCCATTTTGTAGGGTGCACTTCGCTTTGTCAGTGGTGTTTATTTCTCAACAAAATGTTCTCCCCCAACCCCCGTCATCCAGCCTGTGCCTTTGGTGACAAATGCTTTTAGAAAACATGTCATTCTCTCATTTTTGTTCTCATTTTATTGAAGTTAATGGTAAAGGACATCTATCCTGTAACGATGCTCAAACACAGTGAGGACACAACATATTTGGTACTTTGAAGTTTGTTCTGATGAGCATATAACCAGGCAAAGAGTGATGATTAGTCTAGTTACTGCTTTAATGTTGTTTCACTCTTACTCTCTTACTTTAATCTTCTAGCTGCAAATACTTGATTGTGAATGTTGCAATAGGAGTGTGCCACTCAGGGAACATTTGTTTTACCCTCTCATGCGTGGTAATGACATTGATATTCTCATTTCAAGTGAAACTACAACCATAACCTTTGAACAATGTCATAGTGAATTTCATTTATTTTTTATTTTAAAAGACAGACAACAGAAGTACTATCAAAGTAGCAATTATGTGGGCAAGTGGAGAAAAGTGTTTTTGTAAATTTGGTTCAATATACCAAGATATGGCTTTGCCCAAATGAAACAAATTGAAAACAGTAGCTTAAGAGATACATGAGCTATCAAAGAGTGATACAAACAACCATGTCAAGATATTATTTCTTTCTTTTCTACTTTGATGTAATTTTCAGTTACAATCACTTTGTACTTACAAGAGAAAAGTCTATCTAAGAGAAAAAGAGGGACTAAAAAAGGATGACCTGTGTCAAACACCCAAAGCCTCAACAACCAATCTGCCACGCAAAAAGGAAAAAGGAAATCTAAATACATGTAGGTAAAACACACATTAACAAACCACACAAAACACATTCTACATGTCATGACAATTTCCCCAGGAGGAACTAGCACCATCTGATTTCTTAAAAAGCAATTGAATCAATGAGGAGTTCTCTGATCCCTGGTGCCACACATTATACTTTATTGGCTTAGCTTTTGCATGGAAGTCTGTTATACTATTGTCATAAAAGTAAGTAGTGTTGCTAGGAGAAGAAAGTGTATATGAAGCACTCTAGGCAAGAACCTAGATGAGAGGTGAAATGATTAGTTGAGATATCAAGATTTTACGCCATTTTTGGTTCACAAGAGTAGCATGGTCTACTTTGTTATCTAGAGTCTAGGGAAGCCTTCTCTTAGTTTCTACAGAGAGACAGGTCTGGTTACTGGTCCACGCTACTCTCAGTTTCACTCATGGCTGGTAAGAGAACATCTTCTGCACACTCCAAAGTATCACCAGAAATGCTCAAAATTGTGTCATCCATCAACTCTTCCAGAATAATCTCCCCCATCTCAATTCCGATATGTCCAAGATCCAATCGGAGATTCATCCATGTCCCTGATCTTTCCATGTCTTTTTTGACAAGCTGTTCCAAAGAATGAGGAGCTGAATATTGGAGAAGATACCATTCTACTCCCTCCCATACTTCATTTATCAGGTCCATCCCTTTTGGAACAGGTCGAATGTTATGTTTACCGAGTGACACTCTGGGGTTGCAGCCAAAATAGCGCTCACATACTGCTTTAAGAACTTCATTTGCACAATCAAAAAGGACCTTTTGATCATGACAAGAACGGCTTGAAAATAACTCTACCTCGTCAAATAATGATGGGTCAAGAATTTGGTCAGAAGAAAGCCACCTTAAGAGAAACTCATCCCAACTTAATCCTGAGCCAAGAAGAACTGCTTCTACATATTCAAAAGCGGATTCTTCATTTTCGAAACAAACTATTGGACAATCTTGTTCACTGATGGAAGACACTGGTTCTTCGAAATAGATTTTCCGTGGTTGAATTTCTGGATCAACTGTATGCAATTGAACTACATTTCAGGTTGGTGAGCATATAAACAAATGACAGACTTTTGTTTAAGAAAATCTTGGTAAAACATGTCTGACCTGGTCGGCATATGGTGCTTGCAGGACTGACATCATCCTCTGAGAATAATGGCTCAAGAACTGATATGGGACTAGGTTGCTCCTTTCTATCAACTGCACTGTCAGGATCTTCAACTTTCCTGAGGCTTGAAGACTCTGCAGGTGAGGCTGGTGAAGAAGATAGACTACTTTGATCCTTCCCAGATGGATGCTGAAACAAAGACACTCATGATTTTAGATATTGTAGCACCTTAGAAAAGCGCACATTCTTTCTTCAACATTTTTCAAGGGCGAGTTTTTTTTTTTTTGGAACGAGCTTCCTTTATGTTATTTTCGCTACTTATTAAAGTCCCACTAATCATGTCATAATATATATATATAAATATAAATATAAATATAAATATAAATATAAATCATATATATATAAATATAAATATAGTACTAAAAGTGGGAACAATCTAAGTCAAAAGTTGCATTGTGAAAATGCCCCTTATCTATTAATTTATTTTGTTTTTTAAAATCATTTTAAAAAATCACTTTTCATTTAAAATCAACTTCATAACTACCTACACCTCTTCATTTTCATAACTTATACTCTAATAATATTCATTAATCTTGTGCCTTTAACTCTTACATTATCATCTTAAATTAATATTTTTTTCTACTTCTTTTTAGCTTCCATCCGTTAAAAAAACTTTTCATGTTCTTTAACCTTTTATAAAATCAATAGTTTTAGCCTTTGGGGCATTTTCAAATTATTACATGCTTTCTTTTATAAAATACTCAATATTTGGTGTATCCTTCGCACTTTCTGCAACAAAGTTATATTCTTTTTATATTAGTTTCTTAGACCTTTGTTTTGCTCTTAATATTTTTTGTTCTTTGTTGTTCATTGCTTGAGCATTTTACATCTTCAGACTTTATTTTATATTGTGTGACTTATTTTGCTTGGTCATTTTTTGAAATTCTCTATTATTTTAAGAAATATGTACTAATTAGCATAAAATACACGTGCAACTACACGGGCCTGAGAACTAGTTTAGCATAACAGGTAGTAGTGTTTTAGTTCACATTTTATATTAGTTGATAATTTTATAAGTCAAACTTGTTTTGGCACCACCACAAGAAGACACAGATCTTAACTTAAGACAACCCAATTATTTTGAAAGGTAATCAAAGGAATTACTGTAAGAAATCATAGATAGAGTACAACAAGAAAGTTTACTCTCTTTTTAGAATCTTATTTGTGACCACAAATTGTTATCATATAAAGAAATATGCTGCGCATATGGACAGGAACTTAAAAAAAAGGTTTATCATGAAAAATACAATTAGATGTTACAACCTTATCATTTTCATAAAATGATGACAGTTTACTAAAAGATAGGAGGTTGAAGGAAACAAAACTGCATGATAAGAAAGCTCTCATTAATCATTTTCTTCTGTGATATCCCAGAGACTAACTTATTTGAATATGATATAACTAACTTCAAAAAATTGAACAAAAAAATATTGTTACATGTTCAGTTAATACAATGTGCAATGCATATGCATGTACACTATAAATACCAAAAAGTAGGCAACAAAAGTACTAGCAAGCACTACTTACTTCTTTTAAGCAGTCAAATGACAATTCAAATCCATGGGAAGAGTTTCCATCATCCACTGCATTGGTAGCATCACCATCAACTTGGATTTCTCTATCAATTGGAACACTCAAGATTTCACCTTCTTCTTGGCATCTGGTTTTGGTTGCTTCTTCAGTTAGATCTCCTGCAATAATTTAGATTACTGCTTACACAATAATAGATTTTAAAATGGGCGAACAGTGAATTGTAAATGAAATGTTCCCTAGATTCAAGGGATGATCAAGAGATGAATACCTTCAGGACTTGTATGATCAGTTGAAGCAGCAATTTCATCCATTGTGTTCCCATTTTCACATGGAACGTCTAGATTTGTACTGGCAGACTTGGTGCTCTCATTAGGATACTCGTCAGAACAGCTAGATTCTATCTCTATGTCTTGGCTGGATGGACTTGGACCTGTAACATGGTCTTCTCGTACATGCTGGAGTCTGTCATCATTCTCTCCCTGTATAGAATCAGTAAGAGGCTCCCTCACTTGGGAAGGTAGCATGCCATCCTTGCTGTTTTTTCTCGGGCTGCAGCCAGGTGAACTATTGTACTCGGGAAATGAAAGTATCCTCCCCAAGGATTTAGACAACTGTCCACTACTCACCTCTGTTGTCTCATCTTCATTGTCTAGCATCTCCACAAGGTGCTTCTTTGCCTCAATGTAGATGTTAGACATTCCTGGCCTGGGAAAGTCAGAAGCCTCAGTCAGTGTAACTGCTTCAACACCTTTTGACTTGACTATCTTATCCCCACTCTTCATTCCCAGAGGAGATTTAGCAAATTTTTCAGTATAAAAATGGTCTCTATTAGGAGAACTCCATCCTAAATTTTCTCCAAAGATCCCTCTGTCACTGTTACATCGCTTTAACTGCTCAGAGGGAAATCGGCGGATGGTTCCTTCAGGAGAGATCCCATGACGATCCTTTCCCATTGCATGCTTGAGTTTTCTTTTAATTTCTGTAAATGAGAACTGGGATGTGTTTCTTTCATTCTGAATAGTATGTTTCTCTGTGTATTGCGAGCGCGCTGGAGTGTTAACATTGATTTGAGCACTGGGTGATTGCAAGCCTGTTGGACCAGGCTTCAAAATAACAATTTTACTTGAGGATCGGGGAGTCTCATTTCCCATTGGAGGGTAAATTTCTTGAGACTTGCCCCTCCTGAAAAACTTGCGTTGTTTGTGGTTTATGACATCATCTGTTTTTGCATGAACATGGTTTTCCTCTGACATATTGGATTCTGAAATCAAGTTAGGTCTCTGCTTTTCCTCAAACTGAGCATCCTCCAAACTTCCAATTTGCTTTACCAGCCTTGAGTTTGGATCTTGTAGGAGTCTCATGATTAAGTCCTTATTTGAACTTAGAGTCTGCAGAGCATCCATGAATTCTTTTGATTGGAGGGTCTTGTTATCTTCTCCCAATTGTTTATTGTTTCTTGATCTCTGATTGATAAACACCTCAATTGCTGCATTTACCTTTTCTTCAACAACTGGGTGAGTCTGATCTGACTGATTGTTATGAGCATTATGTGAACCTTGGCGGAGCTTCACAAACTTACGATTTTTCTGATGAATCTGGCGGAGTTCTTCCATTACAATGTCCAGATCATCGGGGGCAGTCCCTCCAGAATCTTGATGACAAGGTGCTTCAGACCTCAAATTTCCTGCATCATCCAAATCATGAGAGTGTGTATTACTAGGTCTGGAGAAAGCTCTGCGTGTTCGCCTGCTGTTTTTTCTGGAACGCCATGATTTTTGTGAATCAACATCTTCTGCGTCTATTTCAGAACCATTGCACTGATCTTTCAGGCTTTGCTCATTGACCATTTCTTCTTCCATGAGCTCCTTTACACTTGTTCTAGGATCAGGTACAGCTACCTCACTTTCTTCATCATCCTAAATTCATAAATGCCATATATTTATCATGCCAGCATATGGAGACACATCAGCTGAAATGCTTAAGCATCTCGCGTTTTTTTTCCCTTCAAAATCTTTTGTTCCAAAAGAATCACATTTCAATACAGTCAAAAGTATCCTGATAACATACCTCAATATTCAGTCTATCATCACTGGGATTTGGTAATTCCTGCATAGAGCTTGAAGAAGCAGAACCTGCTGAAGACAAAATAATGTGATTTTGTTGGACACGAGGAGGGGATTCAGGATTGGAGAATTGACATCAGGATAGTAGAAAGCTGCCAGCAAAGAACAGAAATTGGTTCATCTTTAAAGAGTAAACAATACCTAGATTCTTACCAAGAGCTGGTTTGCTTCCTCGCGTTCTATCTGAGAGTAACTTTCTAGTGGCTCGACCATGGCGGAAGTCAAAGATGCTAATCAAACCCCAAATGCAACCCGCTCGATCCTTCTCATATCTCAGAGCATGGCGATGTGATCTCTTTGCCATATTCGTTAACTTATTGACTTCAGTGCACTCTATTCAAATTGTTGATACTACAATAGCCTATCTGCTCAAGAAGAAAAACGAACTTAGATTAAGGCCATACAATTGGAAACTCCCTAAGCTTCTAAATCCAAGAAATAAAATTGAAACACCATAAAATCCCAAGCAAATGAATGCAGCTAAAGAGCCACTAAAGATCCTAATTAGAAACATCAAATAATTATTTCCAATGGACTTGAGATCTCTTCCACTGAAAGCAATAAAAAGTTTGTAACAAACAGAATGGAAGGATCATGAAATTCAACTAACATACAAAATGTGAAATTTCACTAGGACTAACCGAGATGCTTCCTAGATCATAGCAGTCGATCAATAGTAAAAAGGGTTGATAAGGGAAACAGTGGAAAAAATTTACCAAAATTTTGCAACCCCACAGAAGCAAACAAAGAAAACAAGGAAGAAGACATAAACTATGCAGCAAAGTGTACTTCCAAGAAAACCAACTTCCCTCAACTCCACAAGTTTCCCAACAGAGTAAAGTTAAAGGAACTGTAGACTTGCCTAGTTGGTAACGAATCAAAAATTGTTTTTTTTCCCTTTTCAAGAACAATCTTTAACACTACATCCAATAAGGGCAATGCAATTTCCCCAAAAACGCACAACATGGAAAGCAATTTGGCTCCACTACACCAAGGATATCTTCAAATTCTTCAAAGGCATCAATACTTTTTTCTATACAAAGAGCAAAAACTTCCAACTTTGCCAGCAAAATGACCCTTCAACTATTGGAAAAACTGTTTGATACAAAATGTGGCATCAGCAAGTCATAAAGATATCATCATCATCCTTGTAATTATATTTTTGTCGGCAGAAACTTGAAAAACCCAAAATCACTCTTTTTATCAATGAAACAAAAAAGTCACCTTTTTTCATCAATTAAGAGGCACCCACAAAAGGATCTTCACCAAGATTGAAACTTTCTTATCACATGAATCATGCAATTAAGAGAAAACTAAACAGGTAACCATCACAAACAACAAACACTTCCCCTTTGGCACGTTTTGAAGAGAATAAAAAACTCTTTTTTTTCCCTATAAACAATATCAAGGGAGATTTTATCAACCAGAGAGGGTCTTCTTTTTTTCACTTTGGGCTATAAGGGTATCCAATACCGACCAAAAAGACTAAAAGAGAGAACCCCAGATAACTAAAACACCGACCCACGTATTTACACAAAGAAAATTAGCTGTGGGCTTGTGGGGCAGCCATTAAAGACCAAGCAAGGAAGTAAAAAAAAAAGCAATCTTGGCACTGAAAAGTAAAGAAAGATGCTACTGTGGGGGTGGGGGGGTTGAGGTGATGATGGCATATAATGTATAGAGAAAGAAGAAGAGTTCTTGACACCTGGGATTCTAATGGTGGGACCAATCAACCACAACACAAATGGAGCTTTTTCCCACTAAGGGAAAAAGTTTTCTACTTCTTGCTTGCATTTTTTCCTCTTTTCTTTATTCAAAATTCAATCTTTTTTCCCAAAACAGATTTCATCATCACTGTCACCATGACACCACAGACCCCCCACCCCCTCTGGACAAAAAATGGTATTTTTTTTTTCAATTTTCTTGATTTTGAGTTAAGTTGTAATCAGACAAAAACGTATGAGCATTGGATTCATATTTCATAGGCGTTGAGAAAGAGAAAGGGAGAGAAAAAAAAGAGCCTTTTTTTGGGTAGAAATTGACTTGTAGTTCTGTATTTGTTTTCATGTACAATACTACTAGTAGCTGTAGATGATAGGGATAGGTTGAAAGAGGGGTATATGTGGAATTATGTGAAAATTACAAGGACAAGACTGGAATTTAATGTGAGTCGAGGTCAATCAGAAACAACTCTTTCCACAAAGATAGTGATAAAATCCACACGTAACCGATTGGTCAAAAATATTTATAGTAACTAATATTTTTATTTAAGGAAAAGGGTCTAAAAAATACTCTAACTTTGATCAAAATTGTTGTTACAATACCAAACTTTATAAAGGACATTTTACCCCTGCACTATTTAATAATGTATTTTAAAGGTATATATGTGTCCACGTGGACACATTATTATTTAAAATGATGCAATATTTATGATGTCCACGTAGACATATATACACCTTTAAAATACAATATTAAATAGTATAGGGGGTAAAAGGTCATTTCCAATGTTTGGTATCATAATAATAATTTCGATCAAAGTTGGAATATTTTTCAGATCCTTTTCCATTTTATTTAATGTCGGTTTGATACATCTTCCTAAACTAATATAATGGAGTAATTGCGATTTTATTTTTTTTACCATTGTTAAGTAAGAAATTGGTCAATTATTTTTAAACTCGTTTCTAATATATCAATTTGATTGAATTTTACGATTTTATTTTAATAGACTTAACAATAAAAGTTTTTTTCGTAATTTAATATTGGCACTCAATAATTGTTGGTCTAGTTGTTATTGTCTATATAGATCATTCAATTTAGTAGGGGAGAATCTACCAAAACTCGTTAAAAACCTATATAACAAGTTGGTAATGTTATTGATTAAAAAGAAAACTAATAAAAAGAATTTAATGATTTCACTTTGCATTAGTAAGAAGGAAAGTATGAAACGTAATTAGGAAAAGAAATCTTCATTGAACAAAGATAATAAAGAATAGTATTTAAATTTTCAAACATTCTTATCATTTTGTTAGGAAAAGTGAAGAAAAAAGTTGTTATATAAAGTTAGATTTATGAGATGGCCATGATGATAATGATAATAACGTTGAATGAGTAAATTGGAATTCAAACTGATTAATCTCAAGGATTCGTTTGATCAGAATTAGTTATCTCAGAATTATTATTTTATTCACAATATATTTGTGAAAATAATAACATAATGTCAAGAGTGTGATCAATTAGCATTTTTTTTTCATCAAAACACTACATATATTTGAAGTTTATATAGTCAATCTCATTAATTTGAGTTGAAAAGTAGAAATTTCAATACAACATTTTTATGATGTCAAATTGAGCAAAGAAATAAGTAGGAGGGCGTGGGGATGGGGGTGTATAGCATATTGACCAATATCTAAAATTCAAAAGTCATATATGAGTACAATATATATTAATATATTATCATACCATAAACAGGTGTGCACCTATTTTCAATCACAGGATGTGCTAGTAAGAAGGAAAATACGTTTTTTAGGAAAATAACTGATTTAAAAAAAATATATCCAATACATAAGTAAAGATTTATTATCATAAAAACATTATATAGAATCTAGATAAATATTATGGAGGAGTAGGGCCTTAGGGGTAAGGTCTTAAGGGTGTAATAGGGCTATAAGGATAGGCCGAAGATAAGGTGTATTGGAGAGTGAGAAATGAAAAAAAAATATAATTAATGTGGAATGTCGTTTTTTATTTTTATTTTTACTTTTATTAGGTAATTCATTATTTTTATTCAATAAAGTAATAATTTATAAAACGGAGTGTGACTTTTGTTAATTTATACGTACACACTTTTGAACTACACGATATATTCTATGTACTTTTTGTATCCCAATTTATACGGCATAGTTGAAATTTTGAGATTTAAACTTATAGCATATTCGGTGAAATAAATTTTATAGATTTGGAAACCACTTAAAAGTGTTATAAATCACAATAATTAACCATTTAAAATAGTTTAAAGAAGTGAAAAAACCCAAAGTAGTCAGTTATTTTAGGATTAAGACTCAAATTCATCCTTTAGCTTTCACACGGAGTAGTAATAATCCCTCATGTTTGTAATATTGGTGCACTTTTGGTTCCTCCCCAAACTTTTGCCTATTTTCCAACACCAATTTTATTCACAATTTATGTATGAAATATTTAATTATTTTTATTATATATATATTTAGTTAAATTAATAATTCCATGTGATCAGAGAAGGTAAGAAGAGGAACACGTATATTTAAACTTATGTCACATAAATTGAACATAAAGAGTACAATTTTGTAAGCATACATATTCAAATTTTATTTAGCGGGATTAATTTTAAATTTGTGTATGTGACAAACTCACTAACGACAAAATAAAAAAAATCGAATCCCATTATATTACTAATTAAGAATTAACATATATCAAAATAGTGAAAAACCAGTTTTAGTCATATTCAGAAATGATGTTAAGTGTAACTTGTAAGGAATGAATATTGCAAAAGTGCCCCCCACAAAATATAAAATTGAGCAGTTGGACCCCTTATTAATTATTATTTTCCATACTTCCAATTTCCAGGGTGATGTAAATTGTATTGTCTAATCTTGAAGGCCCATATGAGACAAACAGCTTATCTTACCCCACCCCACCCCCCAACAACCCACCCCTACCCCACCCACCCCACCACTACTAGTTTTCTAATTCACTTTTTTTTTTTTTGGAGTGGATATTTGCTTTGTACAATATTAGATAAATTAATTAAAAGATCATAACTTATAATGGTGGTAATAATTATGATTGTTCCCCTCATGCTGATATTAAAATTTAAAATAATAGAATGTTGAGATTTGAATCTAGAGGCCGCTTAACTAATTTTTAGTTGTTTTTTATTTGAAATTTTTTAAAATATAGAATCGTACGTATGACAATTTATTAATTACTAATTTACTATAGTAATAGTTTTGTAATTGTAGATTATAAAAATGTAGAATACATTAGAGAGAAAAATTACAAATATATAGTAATGAAAACAAATAAATTACAATAAATAAAGAGTAATATGCAAGGATATTTCTTGAAGTTTGAGTGTTTGAGAAGGGAATTTTGTATTATGAGTCGACATATCTTCTTATCAAAACATTGGAAAATAAAAAATGGGCATTCTAATTAATTGAAATTGTATGCCTTTGGTGTAGGTTACACATTGATATTTGACACAATCTAAATTGTACTATTTTTTAGTTTCTTATTATTATGTGTCTTGTATTTATAGTAGGGCTCTGACTAATTCAGATTTGTATCAATAAGGTTTCCTAAAGAAAAAAAAATGAATCTACCATAAATATTTTGTTCTCAAAGCTCGAACTTAGACTTTCGATTAAGAACAAAAATCTATTCATTCTATCACATCCCGTGATCATAAATTATACTACGTACTTGAAGTTAGAAAAACCATTAAAAAGGAAAGAAGACGAAATATGTTCCGTATAACGTGTCATATTATCAATAATATCCACATCACAACTCTAATTCTAGTCAATTTCCCTCTTAATTACATGTCAAGGAAAAAATGAATATGGTTCTCTTGTGTTAATTAACCCAGGGATTAGTAATTTAAATTATAAATTAGCTAATAAATCCTTGTCGAACACCAAAGAGGGACCATGGACAAAGTCCAATGTAGATAGATTAGGTTAATTTATATACAATCAATGAGTATTTATTAATTAGCAAAATTGTAGTTGTAGGGGACTACAAATGCCCAATGTATTCAATTATTCTATCTCTTTCTCCTTTTTGACTTAATTGTCACATCTCTCTATATAAAAAAGATCAGAAAAAGAAATTTCCAATAGTTGCTTGTTGATCTATGTAAACTTTAAATTAAATTTTATTAAAGAGAAATATAAAATGTGGAATTAATTAAGGTCGAGTACGAACATAATAAAGGTATTTATTAACTTAAGTCTTACTAATATATTCTTGATTGTACTTAAATACAATTAAGTTTGAGATTATTAATTTATGTATATATTGAATAACAAAGAAATCAAATTATTTGAACAACAATTGAATACATATATTTGATCTAGCTTTAAATAATAAATTTTACATAGATTGAATCGCAATCCTTGCATTTACTTAACTCTTTTTGAGATCCTAATTTGACACATTAAAAGGTGCAATCGGAGGAGCAGAAGGTTGTATGAGGAGAATAAAAAATTATCCGCACTTGATATTAACATTAAATAAAGGGATAAGGGTCTGGAAAATACCCCAATTTTGATCAGATTTGGTGTTGCGATACTAAACTTTCATAAGGACCTATTACCTCTCTAGACTATTTAGTACCGTATTTTTTACCCCTGAACTATTTAATAGTGTATTTTAAAGGTATATATGTGTCCACGTGGACACATTACTATTTATAATTTTGCATTATTTTTTATGTCCACGTGGGCAAATACATATGTTTAAAATACGGTATTAAATAGTCTAGGGAGGTAATAGGTCCTCATGAAAGTTTAGTATCACAACAGCAAATCCGACCAAAGTTGGGGTATTTCTCAGACCCTTATCCCTTAAATAAATAATAGTATGAATTGCGTCTTCAACACATCTTTT